CTTATCACAGACATCAGAAGGAGACAGTCATCATTTTTTGGCCATGTTATGAGAAGAGGGGAAATAGAACATGTTGTGACCACTGGAAAGATCTGTGGAAGGGGGGATAGAGGAAGACATTGAGAGAAGATGCTTGACAGTCTTGTTGCATGGCATGGAGGTGTGTCGGCACTCGAACTGACACATGCTGCAGGAGATCACAGATTGTGAGAGGCATGATTGCCCACGCTAGTCGGCAAGGCACCTGATGATGATGATGATGACCAAAGGGCAAATCTGGTTGTTTCCAGGACTGCTATTTGTTCACTTAACAATATTCCACAGGTTCATGCATGAATTCCAACTCTAAACAGGTCAAAATAAAGTGTTACCTTTAAGCAACTATATAATCTGCATTTGACTTTAATGTTTAACCGTAATTTATTTTAGATAAGGATTTAGTGTGGAGGTGATTTCGGCATACTGCCAGCAATATTAAATGTGAGGTGCCAGCAGAGCAGCTAAAGACACTGTTAACTTGATAGTTTAGTAATTTAATGATGTGGGTGTGTGTGTGTGAGAGAGAAAGAGAGAGACAGACAGACAGACAGACAAACAGAGGGAGTGAGAGTGCGAGACAGACTGAGAGCAAGAGAGAGAGAGACAGACAGACAGAGAGACAGAGCGAGAGAGAGAGATAGACAAAGAGAGACAGACAGCAAGAGAGACAGACTTAGGTACGGAGTTAACTCCTTTTAGAGGGTCTGGCCGGCTCACTGCACTCAGAGGAAAGGCAAGACGGACATATAACCAGATTGTGACCGGTACCATCAGTACTGGAACTCTGCGCTGGCTGCTGAAGATGAGGATGGAGCACGCATGGGAATGCCCCGAGTGCTGTGATGTCAATTCTTGACTCAACTCCTTATGGACATCAAAATGGCCTTAACTTTCCCCCTATGCTTGTGATCAAAATCACCACACTACACATAGAAGGTTTAAGACTAGATCCCACCACAACGGTATAAGGAACCAAGTTATCCACACCCCCCTCCCATGACATGACAACATCAATTCTGTCAGCAATTAGAGATGCCAGGAGAGTGACACAACAGCCACAAATTAGCTCTGGCTGGCTGCTGTTACAAAAAAGAGAAAGGGCTGGGGGTGACCGAGATTACCTGTTGCACAATACCTCCCTATGCACAATAATTAACCGAGTCACTTACAAAGAGAGTTCATGGGGGTAACTTTTGTCGCATCCCAATAATTTGCTACCACTCCAATGCTGCCCTGACAACTCTCATTGTTTACAACCAAACATATGCATAAACATGATTTCTACTTAAGCATGCATGCTTAAATACACACATGCAACTCTTCACACACAATCACACACACACACACACACACACACATACGACATGCTTTTCACACACAACCACAGCATGACTATGCAGAACCATACACAGGCGATACGTCCACATATTTAAAGGCCATAACTGTCGGGTGGCCAGACATATGTGAAGGCTGGTAGGAGGATTACATCACATCATCAGTGTACACAACAAGGTAAGAAAACACTGCTCTAGTGGTTTGTGTCTAAACTCTGGGCATTCAACAGTGAGTGGGTTCAAATCCGGATCGATGCACATCTAGATCTAATGTAGATCTAACCAACGAAGAATTGCATAAAAAGACGCTGGCATTGGTTAGGACACACACTTAGAAAACAGGAGAACAGCATAACTAGAATGTCTTTGCATTGGAACCCACAGGGGCATAGGAATAAAGGAAGGCCCAAAAACACATGGAGAAGAGAGCTGGAGAATGAAGTAAGAAAGATGGGGAGGACATGGGGAGAGCTCCATGCAATGGCGAAGGATAGAATGACTTAGCGTGAGTTAGTTAAAGGCCTATGCTCAAATGGGGGATAGAAAGGCAGAAGAAGAGGAATTGCATGTATAGAATTTAAGAACCAGTCCATGGTGTCAGCCAACACTATGGTGTTTCTTGCAGGGCTGGGCTACTAACTGGCCTGTCGAGACTTAGCCAGTGGCTCAGGGATGACTGCCCACTGTACCATATTAATGAACTATCTATGCTAGGGTTGAGTCTCTGGCCTGTGACGATCCCTACTTTCAACATTTTGCCTCTAAGGAAACAGTCAAAAAGCCCTTCGGCAGGGCTTTCTCTGTGTGGGTCCTCCTCACAGCCCATGCCTTGTGGTGTTTGGTAGTCCGGCAATTCAGGTTCTGGACCAGTTCTGGACTCTAGTCTTGCTCCAGAACTTGAGTTTTGCATGACTTCCATTTTACAGGTCTGGCTCAGTTGTGTACTGACTGTTACTTCTTTGCCTCTCAGACAGATGCACCCCTAGAAGGAAACCCCTAATTAGTCAACTCTTATCACATGCTTGTTAGGGAAGCAGTGGGTCTATTCTTGTTTTCCCTATAATTAGACGTGGAACCAAGACAGGGACCTTACTCTAGCAAAGATAAGAGCATCACTACGTGACCACACTAGACATTCAAAGCAGTTTTAATCCAGGAGATCCCATCCCCATAAACCGAGGGTTTCTTAGCAAAAGAGAAATTGGCAAGAGGACGAAAATGGCTGTTTACCGCTCTACCTATGTACCAGTCCTGACCTATGGGTGTGAGTCATGGGCAATGACAACAGCTCACATAAGCCAGCTGCAGGCCTCGTAAATGAGATATCTGAGAAAGGTGGTCCAAGTGACAAGAATGGACAAAGTCCGCAATCAGACAATACGTCAAGATCCTGATACCCAGCCCTTACTAACCCGAGTAGATCAGTCACAGTTACGATGGTTTGGACATGTATGCAGAATGGGAGAAAATCGGCCACCATGGCAAGCATGGGAGGCTAAGAACCAGGAAACCAGACCTCCGGGACGACCCAGGGTGCGCTGGGAAGACAACATCCGACAGTCCCTAACTGACAGAGGACTGAAATGGAACAAAGCCAGAAAGAAAACTGCTGATAGAGACGTCTGGCGATCTCGCTGGCAAACCTCTACACCCCAAGGTAGAAGAGGAGCGACTAAGTAAGTAAGTAAGATCCCATTCCATCACAAAGCATTCAGGAACGAAGACGTTGACAAACTAGGCAAGGAAGGTGGAAGATGATAGCCTGATATCGACATAACATACGATGGGGCTGACTTCCGGTCTAAAATTCCACTCTGAAGATTACATACCGCCTATAGTTATTTACTGTTATGAAATAATTTTTTTAACAAGGAAAATGCCACGAAGGACCTTCAAGAGGGAAAACATCACTGCATGGGGACAAACCAATGAAGGACAGGCTTACTATTTTATTGTGGTCTAACGCAAGTAGAGATTGTAAGACTAGGCCTCTTTTAGTTAACCATTCTGAAAATCTGTGTGCTTTTAAATGCGCCAAAGTTTGGGTCAGTGTGGGCAACAGTTTTTTGGTTGTTGTTGCCCACTATACCATATTAATGATCTATCTATGCTAGGGTTGAGTCTCTGGCTGTGACGATAGCTATTTTCACCATTCTGCCTCTAAGGAAACAATCAAATAGTCCTTTGGTAGGGCTTTCTCTGTTTGAGTCCTCCTTACAGCCCATGCCTTGTGGTGTTTGGTAGTCAGGCAATTCTGGTTCTGGACGGGGCCCTATTGTGAGGAAAACAAAAATAGACCCAGTGCTTGCCCAAAAGCATGTCCTAAGAGTAGATGTATAAGAGTTTCCTTCAGAGACAGAGTACATCTGCCTGAAAGGCAACGAACCAACAGTATGCATGAAAATGTCAGACCTGTAAAACGAATGTGCACGCAACACTCAGCTTCTGCATCAGGACTAGAGTCTAGAAGTAGACGAACAACCATAACTTTCCGCTGAAGTTTACAGCCGGTGAACGCGAAGAAGAAGAAACAACGGTGACTGTAGCTGTTATCATTAACATCAAGTGCCATGCTAGCTGGCGTAGGCGTTGATTCATCTCCACAGATCTTGATCTTTGGTGTTCTGGATCAATTCCACTGATGATATTCCTCCATGCCATTGTCTTGAGCGATCCGCTGTTATTTCTCTTGGTCTGCCTCTGCCTCTTCTACCAGTGATCTTTCCAGTCGTGATAATATTTTCTAGTGCTTCTTATCTCATTACATAACCACAAAACTGCCTCCTTCTCATTGTTGTTTATTACTTTCATTAACAATTTCCAGGCTACTGTGGAACTTCTAAAACGGCAGCTAGACATTTGCCGCAAGAGCGACCAACAGAGAACAAACAATGTTCAGACCCATACCCACTCCTTTTGAAGACAAACTACGAAGATGACATAGCAATAAAAAAAAATTATAAACACCTTAAGTTGACCACTGATTTTTCTAAACATATTAACTTTAGCTTCTTCTTATTCTTCGCCTTCACCAACTGTAAACTCTGGCGAAAGGTTCTGGTTATTCTTCCACTTCTGGACTGCACTCCTGTTTCATAACTTGAGTGTCACGTGTGCATCTGTTTTACAGATCTAACTCATTTGTATGCAGACTGCTAGTTCCTTGCCTCTCAGGCAGATGCACTCCAACTTCGAAGGAAGCTACCAATTAGTCAACTCTTACAACACGATTTTGGGTAGGCAGTGGGTCTATTCTTGTTTTCCCTATAATAGGGCCCTGGAACCCACACGGGGGACATTGGCTCCTGAAGATGTAGGAAGAAAAAGAAAACTATATGAAGCAAACACTTGACGATAATCAGCTCAATCGGCTATCCTCCGAACTTTGGGCACAAAAGATGGCAGCCGCAAAATATCTTTTTGAGCCTCAGTCACGTGACTTAATTTGCGGTTTTGTGGCGACTACCACAAAAACGCGGGGAAAACAGCAAAATAAGTCGCCCGAAAACTGCAAATTAAGTCACGTGACTGAGACTCGAAGGGATATTTTGCGACCGCCATCTTTTGTGCCCAAAGTTTGGAGGATAGCCGCTTCATCTGACTCATTGATGCCACCTCTGTCCACAGATGCAGACAACCAGAGCCAACCTCCTACTGACGGCTACAACTCTGATGGTTGCTGCCACAGTTCAAGCCAAGACAGTCATCTTCTTCCCTCCCCCAACCACCAGTTACGTGGTCTACCACTCAGGTGTGGCTGCCGCAGTGGCCAGCCTAGGCCACCAGGTGTGGCTGTGCCTGCCACACTTCATGGTAGAACGAAACTTGGTCAAAGACAAATCCGTCCACATTCTGGAGTACGGACAACACCTGGGCAACCTGGAATACCAGATCTATACCAGGACTAGGATCGTGGACAAATTCTGGGAGGGACAAACTCCCCGAGAAATGGAAGCACTGTACGATGTGAGCACTGTGGTGACTGAAATAGCTAGTGACATCCTTTCAGACAAGAAGTTTGTGGACCAAGTCAGGAACCTCAAGGCTGACCTGTTTGTGCTGGAGTCCATACCATTCAACATGAACATGATCATTCTTCCGTACGCCTTAGACATTCCTTATGCTCTCATCGGAACAATCCACGATGTTGTGTTGTCCAAGGTTCCCTTCAGCCCGGCTACAACACCATTCCCCGTCTACAGATTCAGCGACCGAATGACATTCCTGCAGAGAGTCACGTCAACCATCTACTACCTGATGCGTATCAATTTCGACCTCTTCTACGACAGCAGCCTGGTGTCCAAGTTTGCCCCACACAAACCCTACAAGTCCATCAATGACCTGGCTGCCAACGCTGAGATTTTCATTGCAGAAGTTGACCACATACTGGACTACCCACGGACTATGCTGCCCAACACAAAACTGATTGGTGGATCTTCTGCTTCTCCTGCAAAACCATTGGTTGGGGAGTTCCAGAAGTTTGTGGATGAAGCCACGTCCGGCATTATCGTCATGTCTTTTGGAGGTTCAGTTGTTAACTTGGCTCCATACATCTCAAACAAGATGGTTTCTGCTTTCAAACAACTGGATCTCAGAGTGGTGTGGAAGATAAACATGACCTCGCCTGATCCCAAACAAATCATGACCTCCTTGTGGATCCCACAGAATGATCTTCTGGGACACCAGAAAGCCAAACTGTTTGTGTCCCACTGTGGCAAGAACGGACAGTACGAGGCCCTCTACCACGGGGTGCCCATTCTCTGTCTGCCCATATATGGAGATCAAGGTTACAACTCAGAAAGAGTCCGGGTAAAACAGCTTGGACTGTACACCGACATGCGTGAAGCCAGTGCAGATGAACTGGCAGCCATGATGAAAGAAATCATATATGGGGGAAAATACGCAGAAAACATGAAGAAAGCTTCCCGCCTTTACAGAGAGTTGTACAAAGTTCCCAAACATGAAGCCGCATATTGGCTGGACCACGTGATGACATACGGTGGTGCCTACATGAGATCTGCGGGTCAACAGATGCCCTGGTACCAGCTCTATGTCCTTGATGTTGTAGCCTTTCTCCTGGCAATAGCACTCTCTGTCTTACTGTGCACAGCTGCCATTGCCAGGAAGTGCTACCAGATCTACAGGGGCAGCTCCACAGGGAAGAAGACGAAGCACCAATGAGATGATACTCAGGGAAACACATCACAGATAAACGCATACAAATAACCAGACATATTGGAGACATTTACTGTCAAATCACTGCCCTGATATATCTCCAACCTGCCAAAACTCTGTCAGGACATGTCCCAACCTGACACCAAAAATGTCCTCCTGACAGCTTCACAACCTGTCCTGACATTTCCTCAAAATGTCATGGCGCTGTCATTATGTCTCCCCAAATTGTCCTGACACGATCATTACATTTTCCCAAACTGACCTTACACTGATATAACATCTCCCCAACCTGTCCTGACACTATTATTACATCTCCATAAACTGTCCAGACATTGTCCTAACATCTCACCAATCTGTGCTGAAATTATCATTACATCTCCCCAAGCTGCCCTGACACTCTTCCCAAACTGTCCTGACATTGATGTTACATCTCCCCAAACTGTCCAGACACTGTCCTAACATCTCCCCAAACTGTCCTAACATCTTCCCAAACTGTCCTGACATTGATGTTATATCTCCCCAAACTGTCCAGACACTGTCCTAACATCTCCCCAAACTGTCCTGACACACTAGATAAACAGCCATCAATGCCTGGCTGAACCGGAGAACTGTTGTTAAACTACAAGTTCACGTATTTCTTGTCAATGTCATTTTTTAATAAAAGTGGCAATGAACAGCAAACTGTTGTGCCATAACTACAACATCAGAAGTTGTGTGAAATGTTTTGTTTTCCAGTGAACTGGCAACATTTTCCCTCTGGCAACACTTTGTACCACCCCAGAGCTGTCAACTGCAATATTAGCTGTTAGCGAAACATCAGTCCATATAGATGTGACCTCTCTTTCAAACATCTCCAATGTCTTATCACGGAAGACAAATCTATACTTTCCATGGGCACTCCCACAGGATCTACGGCTACTTTCCCCCACTGTGGATCCATCAGTAGTTTTTCATCTCCAGTTCCATAAACTAAACATGGTACATACAACATTCAGTAAGAAGGGACCCTAACAGACGTACAATATCCAAAATTCAACAAACTAGAGCACCCTTACAGACATAACTACAACACTCTATCTCTAGAAGAACCCTTACAGACATAACTACAACACTCTAGCTTTAGAAGCACCCTTACAGACATAACTACAACACTCTATCTCTAGAAGCACCCCTACAGACATAACTACAACACCCTATCTCTAGAAGCACCCTTACAGACATAACTACAACTATCTCTAGAAGCACCCTTACAGACATAACTACAACACCCTATCTCTAGAAGCACCCCTACAGACATAACTACAACTATCTCTAGAAGCACCCCTACAGACATAACTACAACTATCTCTAGAAGCACCCTTACAGACATAACTACAACACTCTATCTCTAGAAGCACCCTTACCCTTACAGACATAACTCTACACACACTCTATCTCTAGAAGCACCCCTACAGACATAACTACAAACCCTATCTCTAGAAGCACACCTAACAACACTCTTCTCTAGACACCTCCTACAGACTACAACACCTATAGAAGCACCCCCCTACAGACATACTACAACACCCTATCTCTAGAAGCACCCTACAGACATACTACATAACTACAACTATCTCTAGAAGCACCCCTACAGACATAACTACAACACCCTATCTCTAGAAGCACCCTTACAGACATAACTACAACACTCTATCTCTAGAAGCACCCTTACAGACATAACTACAACACCCTATCTCTAGAAGCACCCCTACAGACATAACTACAACTATCTCTAGAAGCACCCTTACAGACATAACTACAACACCCTATCTCTAGAAGCACCCTTACAGACATAACTACAACACCCTATCTCTAGAAGCACCCTTACAGACATAACTACAACTATCTCTAGAAGCACCCCTACAGACATAACACTACAAACACCCTTACAGACATAACATTACAACACTCCTATCACCCCTACAGACTAGAACACACCCTAGAATCACCCTTACAGACATAACTACAAAACTACAGACATAACAGACAACTACAACATCTCTAGAAGCACCCTTACAGACATAACTACAACACCCTATCTCTAGAAGCACCCTTACAGACATAACTACAACACCCTATCTCTAGAAGCACCCCTACAGACATAACTACAACTATCTCTAGAAGCACCCTTACAGACATAACTACAACACCCTATCTCTAGAAGCACCCTTACAGACATAACTACAACAATTACAGACATAACTACAACACCCTATCTCTAGAAGCACCCTTACAGACATAACTACAACACCCTATCTCTAGAATCACCCCCTAGAAGCACCCTTACAGACATAACTACAACACTATCTCTAGAAGCACCCTTACAGACATACCTACAACACATCTATTCTCTAGAAGCACCCTTACAAGCTACAACACCCTATCTCTACATAAGACTAGCTCTATCTCTAGAAGCACCCTTACAGACATAACTACAAAGCTATCTCTAGAAGCACCCTTACAGACATAACTACAACACCCTATCTCTAGAAGCACCCCTACAGACATACACAACTACATAACTACAAACTATCTCTAGAAGCACCTTACAGACATAACTACAACACTCTAGAAGCACCCTTATCTCTAGAAGCACCCCTACAGACATAACTACAAACTATCTCTAGAAGACAAAACCCACTATCTCTAAGAAGCACCCCCTACAGACATAACTACAACTATCTCTAGATAAGCACCCTTACAGACCATAACTACAACTATCTCTAGAAGCACCCCTACAGACATAACTACAACTATCTCTAGAAGCACCCTTACAGGACATAACTACAACTATCTCTAGAAGCACCCTTACAGACATAACTCTCTAGAAGCACCCCTACATACAGACACTATCTCTAGAAGCAACTACAGACATAACTAAACAACCTATCTCTAGAAGCACCCCTACAGACATAACTACAACTATCTCTAGAAGCACCCTTACAGACATAACTACAACACCCTATCTCTAGAAGCACCCTTACAGACATAAACTACAACACCCTATCTATCTCTAGACATAACTAACACCCTCTAGAAGCCACCCTTACAGACATAACTAGAATCAACACTAAACTATCTCTAGAAGCACCCTTACAGACATAACTACAACATCCCTATCTCTAGAAGCACCCTTACAGACATAACTATCTCTAAGACACCCCTACTATCTCTAGAAGCTACACCCTCTACAGACAGACATAACTACAACACTCTATCTCTAGAAGCACCCTTACAGACATAACACTATCCAAAGCACTCCTATCCATCTAGAACTCATCACACCTTACAGACATAACTACAACACTCTATCTAAAGCCACCCCTACAGACATAACTACAACTAGCTCTAGAAGCAGACATAACAAACTATTCTCTAGAAGCACCCTTACAGACATAACTACAACACTCTATCTCTAGACAGCTGCAGACATGTACAAAAATTGTGTGCATGCAACTCCATGTAGCTGCCAACAATGGAAGGAGTGTAAGACAAGTGTTCCCCAACAATTTTTGTCTACACCCGCAGGCCACCACAATGTGTTTATGGTTGAAGCAGCCAGAAGAGCACAAACAAAGCAGGACCTGATATCTCCCTCAACACCCGACGTGGTAAAAGAGGACATAAGGAAGAAGTCCACCAAAACATGGGGAAATCATGGCTCACCTGACAGCTAATAAAGACAGAAACAAACAAAAAAAGCAGACGTAGATAGCAGTAAAAGTAAAGGAACCTTTTCCACACCTTTAGGCGTATAGGGCACAAAGGGCTAGACCTATATTATATAGTCAATCGGCACAAGATGGGTGATGTGGTCAGGATCATGCCAGCTGCCTTTACTTCCAGGGACTGCACTTGGTACCCACTCAAGTCCAGCTACACCAGGAAGCGAACCCACGACCGTCCGATCCGCAGGCAAGCATTAGGCGCTCTGCCACTGCGACTCCCCCGTAGATAGCAGTTTATTTGTTAAATCCCACATTATAAAATTACAAGTTTCACCTGATGCGACAACTTTTGATTCTCATCCTTGATGTGTCAACCATACAGACTCCAAACACCGAAGAGAACAACTACCCGACTCTACCCCGTAACATGATTAGGTATTCCCCGTGTAGGTTCCAGGGCCCTATTATAGGGAAAACAAGAATAGACCCACTGCCTTATCCAAAAACATGTCATAAGAGTCAATGAACTGGGAGCTTCTGTCGAAGTCAGAGTGCATGTGCCTGAGAGGCAAGGAACTAGCAGTCTGCATACAAATGACTCAGATCTGTTAAACGGATGCACACACAACACTTAGGATCTGGAAAAGGACTGCAGTCCAAAAGTGGATGAACAACCAGAACTTTCCGCCAGAGTTTACAGCTGGTGAACATAAAAACAGAAGAAGAAAGATTAGGTATAAATTTGCGGCCGTCCACCTGGAATTGTCTGTGGCCCAGCAGCCCACCGGTTGAAGAACATTGATGTCAAACAACCAGTTCCCAAAAGCCGGGTGTTCTAGAGCCAGCTCAAGCACATCCCCTACCCTGACCCACTTGGTCCAGAAAATGGGGTCCAGGTGCAGGCTGGCTTGAGGACAACTACATGTCTTCCAGCCACAATCACAGGGGACACTTAAGAACACCAACTACAGGTATACAGGTAGTCAACAGACAATCAGCTACTCCTGAACAGCCCTGTGGAGTGTTGCAGGCCCCAGCAGGTTAATTAGCTGTCAGCACCCTTCAGGCTGAATAACATGGGGCTAATTGGCTGTATCTGTGTGTACACATGTAGAAGAAAAGGTGGGGGGGGGGGGGGGGGGCTGGAGGGGGAGGTACTCCCAAAATTTAAGTGTGTGGTTAAAGAGCCTAATACAGAAGAGATTTTTTTTAAAATGTCACAGAACTGATTAATGCTTCTTGCAGCCAGGAGCATCCACTTCAAAAGAAAAGGGGTTGGGGGAGGAGGGGGGCATGGGT